GTCTCACCCACACAACCACAGCCACACACGCCATCAATCACACACAATCACACATGCACATGTGTCTCCCCACCCTTCCTTACCATAGTCCACTCCCGGCTCACAGGCCTTGTCCAGCCGGTCATCTGGGGTGACCTGGTCATCTGATTGGTGCATGAAGCAGCTCTCTGCGGGGTGGGTGGGCAGGGGACATGACCTAAGCTCCACTTCTCACCCAGGGCCTGCCACCCATGGGTGTGGTCAGCCCTAGACCCATCCCTCTTGGTGTCCCCTGGGTGTGGGCTTTTGGGGCCCCTTGCATCACCACCAAGGAAGGGGAGACTGTTGGGGGCGGGGTATCAAGTGGGCGTGGCTTTCCACTTCCTGGCTCCTGTGTACCCACCCTCAGCACAGCGGCATATTTCATTGTGGCAGATTTTGCTCAGCAATCCATCTTCCTTCTCCGGGTGGTAGAACCGGGTACAAGACTCATCTGTGGGCCGAGGGGTGGGAGGTGTCAGAGAGCTAAGGCCTCCACCCAAGACCATGCCTGTGGGGCTCAGGTTCCCAACTCCAGTCGCTCAGACCTGGGGATGCTAGGTCCTGAACCCTGGGACTCCCAGGTACCCAATCACCAAGCCCTGGGACCCCCATCTTATAGAACCTTGGGACCCTCAGACCTCAGGCCCGATGTTGGCTGCTCACCCAGGTTGTAATAAGAGTACACCTTGACTGCTCCCGGCTGGATGAGTCCCACATTAAAGAACTGGTGAACTTTGAAGGATATACAGTCCTCTTGATCGTGTGAGATCTGGGAAAAGCAGGAGGTGAGTCAGTGGGAGGGAGTCCAGCATAAGGAGAAATGGTGGACCAAGGAGGGATCTGCGTGGAGAGGATGTTGGTGGTGAGGGAGGGGGAGTGAGAAGTGGCAAAGATTAATGAGCAGGCCCACAAATCTATTTTCTTTTTCTCCAAGACTTATGGCTAGATTACACTTCTTGGCCTCCCTTTCCATTTGGTTTGACAATGAAATTGAATTCTGGCCAATGGATTGCTATCTGTGCCCCTAAAAACATCCCATGGTTATCAATACTGCACTGCATATTTGAAAGCTGCTAATATAGTAAATCTTAAAAGTTCTCACCACACACACACACACACACACACACACACACACTAACACTATGAGGTGGTACATGTGCTAACTAACCTTACTGTGGTCATCATTTTCCAATATACATATATCCAACCATTGCATTGTATACCTTAAACTTACACAGTGTTATATGCCAATTATATCTCAATAAGTCTGGGAAAGTAAATGAGAAAGGAAGAAAGAAAGAAAAAAAGAAAGGAAGAAAGACAGACATGTATGTATATGTGATAGACATGTATTAGTATATTTGGAGGAAACTGCTGACAATTAATGAACCTGGGTAAAGAGTATATGGAACTTTTTATACTGTTCTACAATTTCTCTGTAAGGTTGGAATTACATAAAAAATTAAAAGTACAAAAATTAAAATGAAAAGATTTTTTAAAAAATCCATCTCATGTACAATCAATCCTCTTTTCTTCCAGAAGGAATGGATTAAGCAGAGGACTCTAAGACCAATAGAGAAGGAAAAGGCCAGCCACATATGGGTCAAGGTCCCAATGGAAGCCTTACGTCATCCAGGTAGATGATGAGGGTGTTCTTGTTGGAGGAGGGCTTGTTTTCCAACTCGAACTTTGAGATGTACGTGTCAGTGCCACTGGCCAGCTGGAGAAGGGAAGAGCTTGTGAAAATCCCTTCCTTCCCTCAGCCTCTGCCAGGCCCCTGGCTCCTTCCCACCAATCCTAGGCCCTGAGCCCAGGATTTTCACACCTGCTTGAGGTCAGCAGTGTCAGGAGCAAAGCCAGTCATCATGGATATATCCAGGATGGACATAGTGGCATCGTGGTCTCCCAGGTACCTGGATGGGGCAGGGAGAGAGGGTTAGCCCTAGGGGTCAGTGCCTGGACAAGGGGGTCTGATCAGTGAGTGAGGCTTCTGGTTCCCACACAGCAGCATAGAGGATGTCAGATCTTAGGAAACACTCCCCCAAGGGGAATAAAGAAAAGGTGTAATGGTTAAGGCAACTAACTGCTCAGCCTCTGAAGCCCAACTACATGGGTTCACATCCCAGCTCTATGTGACATTGGATGAGTCACTTCACCTCTTCGGGCCCCAGTTCTTCTAGAAAATGAAGACAAGAGTACAGGCAGGTCTCACTTTGCATGATTCCATTATCACAGTCTAGTTCAATAACACCAGCCCCTCAGCAACATGGTCTAATTCCAGTACCACAATATATTAATGAGCAAACGCCTAAAGGACAAATCTAGTTGCCAGCTCTTCAGTCCACCTATCACTATGTAAACAAGTGAGCATTACAATCAATGACCAATCACGTAACTTATTTCAAAGTCTATCAGTGATGGGTCACTGAGCACCCGTCATTCAAGCCATGTGTGTGATTGTGTTGCTTCCTTCTCTCTCAGTAAAAAGAACCATGTGAGATTTTACCAAAATGGATCATTGAAAGGGAATCGCCAGCAAAGATGAAAGTGCAGCACAGAATTGAGAGTGGTAACACTGAGAATGAAATTTCAGCAGCACCTAAATGGAGCCAGAGAAGAAACAGCAGATGGTGGAATGTGGACCTGCTGCCCTTGTGGTTGGATCACTGTCTCATGCATCAAAAGGTTGCAGAGTCCATCCCCGGTCAGGACACATATGGGAAGCTATCCATTGATGTTTCTCTCTCACATCAATATGTTGTTTTTTCTCTCTCTCTCCCTCTTTCTCTCTCCCTTCCTCTCTCTCGAAACCCATAAACATCACTGGATGAGGATGTTTTAAAAAATCTGAGAATACCACCAGAGAGAAAGGGGATCAAACTGAAGCCTGAGCTTGCTAGATTTGAGGTTGATGAAACCATGGTCTAGAACCCAGCTGGAAGAGAGCAGGCTTTGATAAGACTCTAGAAAACTGAGACCATGATGTAGAACCCATAGTAAGACAAGGTAACACTGGGAGCCTCGTGGAACTGAGTGCATGGTCTAGAACCCGCCAGAGGGAGTGATGGACTTGATGATCCACTATAATAATGGAGAATTGGTCTAGAACCCACCAGTGAAACAGGATAAGATGGGAGGCCTGGTGGAACTGGAAACATGGTCTAGAACCCATCAGAGAGAGGCTCACCCTTGAACCTGGGACTTGAGAACATGATCTGGATACCAGGAGGGAAAGGGGGCTCAAAACACAGCTTGGGGCATCCAGAATTTAGTCTAGAATCTATATACAGATTTAAAACCTTATTTCTCAATTTCATTTCAATCAATTGCCTCTCTTGGTCTCAGCATCTTAATTGGGAGGCAGTCAGGCTGGAGGAGGTAAGGATGCATTTGCCTGGGGGATGTGGGACCACTTGCCTGGGTGGAGCCATAGCCACCTCCGTAGTATCTCTGCTCGTTGAGCCAGCGCACAACAGGAGGTATAGAGTCAAAGTCTTTGAGCAGCAGCAGAGCCAACAGGGCATAGGATGTGGCCTCTATAGTGTAGAGCCTTTGGCCAGGCTCCTCCCAGCGGTTCTTATCTACAAGAGAGAACACCAGCCCCCATGCTCACTGCTCTGTCCAGCCTGGAGGTAGTTCAGAGAAAGCTCAGAAGAAAGACTTGTACTAGACCTCGGTGTTCAGGTGTCCTGGCCCACATTTGTGGCTTTCAGTCTGCTGGTTCCTGCCTTACTCTCTTCCCTCATAAACATTTACTCTTCTGTTTAAATTCTGAACTGCAGCCCCTCTGATCTATGGGAGCAGATTCCCTAAGTTTTCCATGCTCATTCTTACCTTTGAGCCTTTGCATGTTCTGTTCTCCTTTCTTGAAGCACCTTTTCTCCACCTGGCACAATTCGGCTTCAATGGCACCCAAGACAGAGTGAGACACTTCCTTCTGTCTCTTAAAGCATCCTGTGCTTCTCCTGAAGCACAATGATGCTCTACAGAAATCTATTAACTCAATTTCTTTCCTCAACTGGAACGTGAGGCCATGATGGCAGTGGCTATGCCATATTCACTGTGATGTCCCAAGTGCCTAAGAAAGTACCCATGACGGAGACTGTCACCAAGAACCATTCCCTCCTCTTCCTGGGCACAGAATTGGACTACATCTGCCAGAGGCCTTTGCAGGTAGGTATGACCACATAACTGAGCTCTGGCTAATGGAATGTGCAAGGCAATTGATGGGGCCCTTTCCATGGCTGGTCTACCTCCCTTGCACAATCTTCCTGACTGTTTCCTTCTGCTTTAATAGAAGGGATTCTGAGGCCCTGAGGTGGCAGAGCCATGAGAAGATAGAGCCTGGGTCCCTGCATCACTGTATAGAGGAGAGCTGTCCACCAACTTGGGATGGCCATACTGTGCTGTTTCTTACACAGCAAGAAACCAACTTCTCTGCGTTAAACTACTTCAGTATACATTCAGATATGTTACAGAAGTGAGCATAAACCTGATAAGCTGTCATCACTTGAACCAGTGATTAAGTGCTCACAATGTGCTACTTATTGTCCTAAAATTCCTATGTCATTCTCTTATCTAATCCTAATAACCCTTGAAATAATGGGAATGCTATTAATAACTAGAGGTCCGGTGCATGAAATTCATGCATGGAGGGGGAGGGGTTTCCTCAGCTCAGCCTGCACCCACTCCAATCAGGGAGCCCTCAGGGGATGTCTGACCGCCCGTGGGATCAGGCCTAAACCAGCGGTCCGACACCCCTGTCACAATCTGGGATCGCTGGCTCCTAACCACTCATCTGCCTGCCTGCCTGATTGCCCCTAACACCTCTGCCTGCCTACCTGATCACCCCTAACTGCCTCTGCCTGCCTGCATGATTATCCCTAAACTCTCTGCCTGCCTGATCGCCCCTAACTGCCTCTGCCTGCCTGACTGCCCCTAACTACCTCTGCCTGCCTCCCTGATTGCCCCTAACTGCCCTCCCTGCCAGCCTGGTTGCCTCCAACTGCCCTCCCCTGCCAGCCTGATCTTGGCCCTAACTGCTTTCTCCTGATGGCCTGTTCACCCCTAACTGTCTCTGTCTGACTGATCACCCCTAACTGCCCTCCCCTGCCAGTCTGATCTCACCCCCAACTGCCCTCCTCTGCTGTCCATTTTGGTTCTGATTGGTTAGTTTCTATGTCAGTCAGCGTCAAAAGCTCCGTCGCCTAGGCAGCCATTGGCTCCTCACAGTTGGCCCAGATTTGGTTCTGATTGGTCAGTTTCTATGCCAGCCAGCATATCTGGGCCTACCAACGGGGCCTGATCAGAAAGGCAGGGCTGATCAGCAGCCCCAGTGGAGGCCTGGAGTGAAATGGAGGCGCAGCCGTTGGCCAGGCTGGGAGAGACAGAAAGGCAAGTTCGGATCAAGGGCTGCCACAGAGGCTATGGATCAGAACCTGCCTCTCTCTCTGCAGGCCTCTCTCTTGGCCTGATCCGCAGCCCCCTAGTCAGTCAGTGCTGGATCAGGGCACCTGCAGTGGCCCCAGTCAGTGCTGGGTCACCATGGCAACCCAGCACTGACTTCCGGTCTGGTAGAGCCTTCGGTGGTAATGTTGTTACAATCCTGCTCTTTATTATATAGATAGTAAAGGCAATAACAACATCAGTGATAGATCTCTTACTATGTGATAGACATTCTCCTAACCACATCACATTTAATCTTCGCATCATTCTTGTGATGTAGGTATCATTTTATACACAATGTCCATAGAGGTTAAGTAGATTGTACAAGATCACACCGTGAGAATGTAGTAGAGGGTGATTTGATTTTGAACTTGAATCTGTCTGATGTCAGAGCCCATGTCCTTGCTCCTGTGTCATAGCAAGTACTCAACAAATACTTGTTGAATCATGCAATGGACCTTTTGTGTCATGCTTGCAATGAGGACTTTTCACACCCAGACTCACTCTTCCCAGCTCAGCTTGGAGCCATGCAGCCCGGTTTAAGATGGCCACCCTCAACCCCCAGCCACATATCTCTCCTTTCCCCACCAGGCTGCCTCTCACCTGTGGCTGCATTCAGAAATGTGTTGAGGAGAGGGCCCTCCAGCTTGCCCAACTGGGCCAGGGCATAGCCAGCAATGGCCACAGCATATGGTCTCTTCAAGTTCATGTAGTGTGCTTGAATGAAGTCTCCAGCCTTATTGATGCTGCCCCCAAGGCTCTATGAGAAAAAGATTGGGTACTCTGCTCAGGTGGCACTGCTGCCCCAAAGAGCTGACAAGGATCACATAATCACCACTTCCTGGGAATAAGGTTTTTGGCCTTGGTACATATTTGTCTTGGATCTGTCTATTTTTAAGGGTTCCCCAGACAGTTTAGCCACTGTGCACTGCTCTGTTACTGAATACCTATCATGTTCCTGGTGCAGTTTGTATACCAGTGGTGTGCTAGTAAATATTTAATAACCAGTTGTCTAGTCAGTGCAGGGGGTGAGGGTTTGGGGAGCTGGTTTACTGATTGCCAATGTGGTGTAAATACTCCCACCATGCTAATTTCAAGCTACCAGTGTGACATACTTTAACAGAGTGGGAAAGAGATGCCCCAAATAGGCACCCAGGGTTAACACACCACTGGGTCCACCTATTATCTAATCATCATTGTCATTGTGGCTAACACTCACTATGTGCTAGTCACATATCCACTCATTTAATCTCAAAATCCTATGAGGTAGGTTTTATTTTCATCACCATCCCTACTGCACAGAGAACACTGAGACCCATGAGATGAGGTGCAGAGGCAGATATGCTTTGTAGTGTTTGCTGATTTTTTATAGTTTAAATACAACCACGGCTGATTTCAACCTACCAGCATGGAGTCACTGACGGTAGAATTGGGAAGAGATTATAAAGTATTTCCACCGTACAGGTACGACAGACGTAAATAACCTCAAGAGCATGGATAATGATAAAAGATAGTAAAATAATTAAGAAGTGATGAGTTTTGCCAAAACCGGTTTGGCTCAGTGGATAGAGCGTCGGCCTGCGGACTGAAAGTCCCGGGTTCGATTCCGGTCAAGGGCATGTGCCTGGGTTGCGGGCACATCCCCAGTGGGAGATGTGCAGGAGGCAGCTGATAGATGTTTCTCTCTCATCGATGTTTCTAACTCTCTATCTCTCTCCCTTCCTCTCTGTAAAGAATCAATAAAATATATTTTTTAAAAAAAAGTGATGAGTTTTTAGTGTTTACTACCTTTGTTGTTGTTGTTTTTTCTTAAGTGATTTGCCTTACCCTGTTTTTTACATAATGTAGCTTACACATGTGTTACATCTAGAACTCAGAGAGTCCTAAAAATACAAAAATTATTATACCCATTTTACAGATGCACACACTGAGGCCCAGTAATGGAACGTCCCTGAGAGTAATGATCTGAATGTAGGTCTGTCTGACCCCACTGCCCTAGAGCTGTCTCTTTTCTATCATACTTTATTTCAAATCTGCAAGGATTAAAACAAGGTTCCTCTGGCCTTAAAGGTAATGGCCTTTCTCTCCTCCCTCTCTTTTCTGGGGTCCTGAGGAGGGAGAAGCAGCTGTTGAAGTTGGGATCCTGGAGTTCCCCACTTGGAAAGCTAAAGGTCAAACAACCCACTCTCAAAACCCTAGGACAGTGGTTCTCAACCTGTGGGTTGACCCCTTTGGCGGTCGAACAACCCTTTCACAGGGGTCACCTAATACCATCCTGCATATCAGATATTTACATTACAATTCATAACAGTAGCAATATTACAGTTATGAAGTAGCAACGAAAATAATTTTATGGTTGGGTCACAACATGAGGAACTGTATTTAAAGGGCCAGAAGGCTGAGAACCACTGCCCAAGGACAAAGCAGATGCCGAGATTACAGAACCTCCACAATCCCTGTGCCTGGGCAGGAGAGGGGAGGGCAGGGCACACTTACGTTGATCTGTCCCTCGCAAATATCTTTAGCCTCCTGCAGTGCGATGAGAACGAAGGCTGTGAGGGACACATCTTTCTCCTCAGCATCATTCAAGCCACCCTAGGGTGTGGAGGAGGGAGTAAGGATGGAGTCACCCATGTGCCCCTCATGCCAACCACCCCCCTGTAGGATCAGTGGGGCAGGGCAAGGGTGGGTCTCTCCCCAGTGTCTCACAGGAGGGCCATACTCTAGTATCCATTCATTCACTCACTCACTCTGTAAATGTTGCTGGTGTTGTGGGTAAGATGGCTCCAGCCCTCATGGAGCTCCCCATCTCATAGGGGGAACAGGCATGAACCAACCAGCTCATCACAGATCTATCGTTACAAACTGACCAGAGCTGCGCAGAAGTGGATGTGGCGGTGAGAATGGATAGTGGGGGTGTGTCTTGGTCAGGGCAGTTGGAAAGGTGTCCCCAAGGGATGACAGATGGAGCCACAATCTGAAGAGTGAGTAGGACTCAACTGCCAAAGAGGGCAGTGGTAACATGCCAGGTAGTGGGAACAGCATGTGCAAAGGCCCTGTGCCCAGGAGCAAGGCTCCAGGGAGTACAGATGGAGTGTGGAGAGGGAAGGCTGCGAGGCTGGAAGCCCGAAGATCAGGCTGAAGCCGTGGTTTGCTCACTTGAGCACACGTCAGCATTACATGGAGTCAGGGGCTTATTAAAACCCCAATTCCTATGCCCCACCCCCAAAGTTTCTGATTCGTGCATCTGGGATCCAGCCCAAGAATGTCCATTTCTAACAAACTTGTAGCTGATGCTGATGCTGTTGGCCTGGAGACTAGAGTTTGAGAAACACAATTCTAAAGACCTGTGAGGGTTTTTATCAAAGCAATGGGGGGCTAGGGAACTTTCATTTTGCACTGGACCCTGAGGTCTCTGGTTTTTGCAAAGGAGAAGTGACCATCATGGCTCCTTTATTTCTCTGTCCATCCCACGCTGGGAATTGGGCAAATGGCAGAGGGAGCCTGTCTCCTGTCCATGCGTGGGCACTCAGGCACTCCTCTCCCCAGCCTGCCCTGAATCCTGGCCTCTTACAGTCATTTGTAGTTGTCCCACGGGTGAATCCTCCTGGAAGACTCCATCAGGCCTCTGCTTCTCCAGGATCAGCCACTTGACAGCTCCACAGATGACTTCGGAGTCGATGGCGATGAGGTTGGTGGCCAGAGAGAAGACCTTGACCACGTAGGCTGTCGGCCTGGGGGTGGGCACAGAGCATGAGCCAATTGGCTCTGGGATCCAGAGACTGCCATCCCAGCCAAGCAAGGAGCAGAGAGGGCCATGGCCTGCTCAGGTGTGCCCAGTTTCCCGGGCCAGGCCTCAGGACCCAATGTTGCCTGTAGGCAGTGCTTAGTGACGGTAGGTCACTCAGCTAGTGGGCACCTTAACTCTGAAGGTGGAGGGGTCCAGAGGCACAGGGCTGTGTGTGGGGGAGGCCAGCCTAGATCACCCCAGGTCATGGCCCAGGCCCTGCTCAAGGGGTGCAGGGCCAAGGATGAGCAGGCTCACCAGGTGCTGGACTTCCGACTCTGGTAGGCCGCAAAGGCCTTGTTGGGTTGTCTGTAGGTCAGTTGCGTTGTGTACCCTGCAAGGAAGAGAGAAGTGTCACTGGGGGAGTGAGGGCTGAGTGGAGGCAGTGACTGGTGAAGGTATGCCAGGAAGGAGAGAGGCTTAGAGAGGGAACAAGGATTCTGTGAAGGGGAAAGGTGAGTTCAGAGAGGAAAGAGGGGGCTCAGGAAAAGGAGGAATGTCTGGAGGGGAGGGGAGCTTATAGGGTGGAGGGACTCTGCAAGGGTGCAGGGATCAGAGTGAGGAGGAGTAAAAGCTTCTCAGAGGAGAGGAGGTTCAGAGAGAGAAGGGCTTTCAAGGGAGTTCATTGGGAGAGGAAACTCGGAATGACCAGGGTCTCACAGAGGGGAGAGCAGGAGGTTTCAGAGAAGCGGCGGGGCCTCAAGAGGGGGTGGGGCCTCAGAGGAGGAAGGAGCTCAGAGAGGGGCCTCAGAGTGGGGGCCTCCAATAGGGGAAGGGGTCATACCCTTCTTGATGAGATCCACGGCTTCCTGCCGCTTGCCAATGCCAAGCTTCTCCCACTGCTCAGAGTGGTCCAGGTAGTGCACCGCGATGACAGTGGGCGTCATGTGGATCATGTTCTGCTCTCCACAGCCCCCGGGGGTCACAATGAGGTGCCCCAGCTGCTGCCCATCAATGGCGTCCTCTGCCATCTGGGCCACTGGGGTCCCTGCAGCCAGGAGGAAGGATGGCGTTCAGGCAGCAAGACCTACTGTGGGCTGAAGAGGGTTGGGGCTGCCCCCAGCCTTCCCAGGCTCCAACCAGCCAGGGCCAAAGAGTCAGGGAGCCAGGGACAGCTGGCGGCTGGAGGCATGTGACTGAACGGGGCAAGGGGGGTTGTCCCTGGGTCCTCATGTGCCACCAGTGGTAAAACAATTCCAGGAACAATGGTCATGAATACGTCTATCATGCTTAATGCCATTTGCCAAGCTCCCTTCTAAGAGAACACTATATAGCATCTCATTTAATTTTCCCAACAGCCCTCGAAACAGGTACCGCTATTTGCCTTCATCACAGATCAGGAAACCAAGAGTTTCTATCCCAAACCTAAGAGCTCAGAGGTTGCAAGGGGCTTTGCTAGCTCCTTCCTGTGCCTTCTCCTCCCAGTCCTCCATCCTCCTGGATTAGTTCCAGAATTTCTGTTTTTGAACTCTATCACTTCTCATTGAAGCTTCTTTAGCAGCAGAAGCTAAGTACTGCCTGGAGCCTTATGTGAGCACATCAAGGAGGGTGTTCTAGCACAGGAGAAGGAGAGAGGCGCCATGGTTCAATATTCCTGGAAGTGATGGAACCGGGAGCCCTCTTCAGGGGTCATGGCTCCCACACCTTCCTGGGCCCCATGGGGTTGGACCAAGGCCATCTCACCCTGCAGGAGGATCCTGGTTTCCGACTCTGTGTCAGGGACTTGGTCACTGAGGTCTGCAGCCTCGACCTCCACTCGCTGCACACCGTCTGCCGGTTGAATGGGAGACACCCTTCGCACCAGCCTCCTTTCACCAGACCCTGCACACCACCCAGGCCTCACCCCCACTCCTGCGCTGACTCACTCTGGCCCAGGTGTTGTGGATCCAGTGTCTTAACGGCCACAGTCTTGTTCATTCTGATTCCTTCAGGCTGGACAGTGTTGAGGGAAGGGGGAGGTGGGTGAATAAAAGGACAGACAGAGCCACAGCTGATCAGCAGGGCACTGTTTTGGGGATTACCGTAGCCTAGATGGCATCTGCCAGTCTTAGCTGTGTGACTGGGAGCCAGTAACTTAACCTCTCTGTGTCTCAGCTTCCTTCCTTATAGGGAGGAGGCAATACAAACATCTACCTCATACTATTGTATGATATAATAACAACATTATAAATTAATAACAATAAAATAGCCAAGCCTTTAAAATCTTCCTATGTGCCTAGAAGCTTCCTTTATTCTGGTTAACTCATTTAATCTTTATAATAAGGTACTGCTATTATCATTCCCATTTCAAAAATGGGGAATCGGGCCCTGGTCAGTATGGTTCAGCTGGTTGTCCATTGTTCCATACACAGAAAGGTTGCCGGTTTGATTCCAGGTCAGGGCACATGCCCAGGTTTCGGGCTTGATCCCAGGTTTCGGGCATGCAGGAAGCCGCTGATGGCTGTATCACTCTCACATTAATGTTTCTCTCTCTCTCTCCCTCTTCTTTGCGTTCTCTCTCTTTCTCTCAATAAAAGTTCTTAAAACAAAACAAAACACATAAACTTATAATGATGGTAAAATTGGAGAACAGAAATGAGGTCAGAATGAATTTGTGAGAAGCAAGATGGCGGCGATATAGGCAGACGCGTTCCAGGTCTTGTCCCGGAGCAAATGGAGTAAGCAGCTGAAACTAATAACACCCACCCCGAATCGGCGAAATTACTCAGCTGGTGAGACGGTTTGCAGCCGGGAAGGGCAGAGCTCCCCTGGAAAGGTAAAAAACCAGGGATCTGGGCAGGAAACTTTGCCAGACCTCTGAGCCCAGAGGGTCGGAGGGAGACCGCGTGGCAGACAGCCGAGTCTCTTGGGACAGACACAGCCCCTGACTGGGGAAAGGAGTTCCGCGGGATTCCTGGCGCCGGGGGATTTGAGATTTGGATTCTGTTGTGATTACGGACTGAGCCTAAAGTGGGCAGCCTGAGGAGCTGACCAGATCATGCAGTGCCGGTAAGAGAGGAGCGTTTCCGCGGCCGGCGGCGTTTTGTTCACTTGTTTTCACTGAACCCTGCTCATAGGACAGTTCGGATACAGACACTCACCTGTGCTGAAGAGAGGGAGAAGGTGCGGACTTGTGGATTCTGGGGAGAGGCTGAGGAGAGAGGGGGGGCCGGGAGAGGTGGCAGCGAATTGAGTGCTGAGACACCCCTGGGCCCAGGACTGGGGCAGCCATTCTCTCCAGAGGGTGGAATTCCTCCCCCCTTCCCCCAGGCAAGGAGCACAGCCACACCCAGATTCTACCCTGTACGAGATAAAGGATTAAAATAATCTGATTAGTCCCTGGGAGTTACCAGGGTCTGGCCTATAGAGGAACTTTCAGTCCCACCAACAACGCAGAGCAGGGTAACGATTATTTAAGAACCAGCTCTGGGCAGTTGACCTCCCCAAACCAGTTTTAAGTAGAGAAGCCGTATAGCCTCAGAGGCCAACCCCAAAACACTGCCACCCAGAGGCTGAGCCACAAACTGACTCTTAGGTGAACACAAACTAAGGCAGTCTGGATCACAAATACGGCCTGCTTTAAAATCAGGACTGTGATTTACAACACGGAGGAACAGTGTATCACAGGGAAATTCAACACTCTCCTAAATACCTGGCAGGACTAAGCAGATCCAAGCAACAGCAGCCTCCTGATCACCACACCCTCTGTCTGAGGAACAGCAGCTGTACGTGAAGCCTCCCCCCACCAGCCAGAAGAGCCACCACAGCTGTGAACAACACCCACCAGAGGAGCTGCTGCCAACTGAGGAGCAGCTGCTACCGCAACCACCCAAGGAGCAACCACAGCCCAAGGAGCCACTGCCACCCAGGGAGCAGCCACTGAACGACTCAACATCTAGATATGTCAGTGAGATCAAACATGGGTAGGCAAAGAAACCCCCAAAGGAAAGAAAAGGAGGACTCGCCAGAAAAGCAGCTAAGTGAGACAGAGGCATGCAACATGACAGAAAAAGAATTCAGAATAAGGGTCCTAGCGTGCATAAACCGGATGGAGGAAAAAATCAACTACTTATGCAAGAAGCAAGAAGAAACAGATGAAAAAATCAATAACTTATGCAAGACCCAAGAAGAAATGAAGAGCGATATAGCTGCAATAAAAAACACCATTGAAAGCATCAACAGTAGACTAGGAGAAGCGGAGGACCGAATTAGTGAATTAGAAGACAAGGAAGCAAAACACACCCAAACTGTACTGCAATTGGAGAAAAAAATTAAAAGACAGGAGGAGAGCCTAAGGGAGCTTTGGGACAACATGAAACGAAACAACATACGAATAATAGGGGTGCCAGAACAACAGAAAGATGAACAAGGATTAGAAAACCTACTCGAAGAAATAATATCAGAAAACTTCCCTGAAGTGGGGAAGAAAAAAGTCACACAAGCACAGAGAGTCCCAAACAAGGTGAACCCGAAAAGACCCACACCAAGACACATCATAATTACCATGGCAAATGTTCAGGACAAAGAGAGAATCTTACAGGCTGCAAGAGAGAGACGGAAAGTTACATACAAGGGATCTCACATTAGATTATCAAATGATTTCTCAACAGAAACACATCAGGCCAGAAAAGAATGGACAGAAATTTACAAAGTGATGCAAAGCAAAGGACTGAACCCAAGAATACTCTATCCAGCAAGGCTATCATTCAAAATTGAAGGGGAAATAAGAAGCTTCACAGACAAAAAAAGGCTAAGGGAGTTTATCACCACCAAGCCAGCAATGCAAGAAATGCTAAAGGGACTGGTGTAAAAAGAAGGAATAAAAAGCTCAGAAAGAAAACAGCCACACAAAAAAAGAAATGGCTACAAACAAGTACCTTTCAATAATAACTTTAAACGTAAACGGACTAAATGCTCCAACCAAAAGACATCGAGTGGCTGAATGGATAAAAAAACATGACCCATACATCTGCTGTCTACAAGAGACCCACCTCATTAGAAGGGACTCACACAGACTGAAAGTGAAGGGATGGAAAAATATCTTTCAGGCAAATGGAAAGGAAAAGAAAGCTGGGGTAGCAATACTTATATCAGACAAAATAGACCTCAAAGTGAAGGCCATAACAAGAGATAAGGAAGGCCACTTCATAATACTAAAGGGATCAATACAACAAGAAGATATAACCCTGGTAAACATATATGCACCCAATGCAGGAGCACCCAAATACATAAAAAAACTCCTGGAAGATATCAAAGGAGAGATCGACAACAATACAATCATAGTAGGGGACTTTAATACACCACTGACATCACTGGATAAGTCCTCTAGACAAACAATCAGCAAAGAAACAGCAATCCTAAATGACTCACTAGATCAGATGGACTTAATAGACATCTTCAGAACACTTCACCCAAAGCCGCGGAATATACATTCCACTCAAATGCTCATGGGACAGATTCAAAAATAGACCACATATTGGGTCACAAGCAAAGTCTCCCCAAATTCAAGAAGATTGAAATCATAAAAAGCATCTTCTCAGACCACGATGGCATAATATTAGAAATAAACTACAATAAAAACAACCCAAAATACTCAAACACTTGGAAGCTGAATAGCATGTTATTAAATATTGATTGGGTTACCAATGAGATCAAAGAAGAAATTAAAAACATCCTGGAAACTAATGACAATGAAAACACAACAATCCAAAACCTATGGGACACAATGAAAGCAGTCCTGAGAGGGAAGTTTATAGCTCTACAGGCCTATCTCAAAAAACAAGAAAAAATGGTAGTAAATCATCTAACTCTTCAACTCAAAGAATTAGAAAGAGAGCAACAAGAAAACCCCAGAGTGAGCAGAAGGAAGGAGATAATAAAGATTAGAGCAGAAATAAATGACATAGAGACCAAAAAAACAATACAGAAAATCAATGAAACCAAGAGCTGGTTCTTTGAAAGGATAAACAAGATCGACAAACCTCTAGCCAGGCTCACCAAGAAGCAAAGAGAGAGGACCCAAATAAACCAAATCAGAAACGATAGAGGCGAAATAACAACAGACCCCACAGAAATACAAATGATTGTTAAAAAATACTATGGACAGCTCTACTCCAACAAACTAGACAACCTGGAGGAAATGGACAAATTCCTAGAAAAATACAACATTCCAGCACTCAATCAGGAAGAATCTAAAAATCTCAATAGGCCAATAACTATGGAAGAAATTGAAGCAGTCATCAAAAAGCTTCCAGCAAACAAAAGCCCAGGACCAGACGGCTTCACAGGGGAGTTTTACCAAACATTCAAGGAAGAACTAAAACCTATCCTCCTCAGACTACTACAAAAAATTCAAGAGGAAGGAACACTTCCAAGCTCATTCTATGAAGCCAGCATCACCCTAATACCAAAACCAGGTAAAGACAACACAATGAAAGAGAATTACAGGCCAATATCCCTCATGAACATAGATGCCAAAATCCTCAACAAAATCTTAGCAAATCGGATCCAGCAGTACATCAGAAAGATCATACACCATGACCAAGTAGGATTTATCCCAGGGATGCAAGGATGGTACAATATCCGCAAATCAATAAACGTGATACATCACATAAACAAATTGAAGGAAAAAAACCACATAGTCATATCAATTGATGCAGAAAAAGCATTTGACAAAATCCAACACCCATTTTTGATAAAAACTCTCAGCAAGGTGGGAATAGAAGGATCATACCTCAACATAATAAAAGCCATATATGACAAACCCACAGCCAACATCATACTCAATGGACAAAAACTAACACCATTTCCCCTAAGAACAGGAACAAGACAGGGATGCCCACTCTCACCACTCCTGTTCAACATAGTACTGGAAGTATTAGCCATTGCAATTAGGCAAGAAGAAGAAATAAAAGGCATCCAAATTGGAAAAGAGGAAGTAAAACTGTCCTTATTTGCAGACGACATGATATTATACATACAAAACCCTAGAGACTCCATCAAAAAGCTACTAGACTTAATACATGAATTTGGCAATGTAGCAGGATACAAAATTAACCCCAAGAAATCTGAGGCATTTCTATACACCAATAGTGAACTTTCAGAAAGAGAGATTATAAAAACAATCCCATTTACCATCGCACCAAAAAAATTAAGATACCTAGGAATA